TGAATCCTAGGGCTCGAACCAGGTCAATGACCCCGACCTCTTATTTCTTTATGTATATGCTCCATAAATGGAGTTTATGTTTCACTTCCCACTACTTTTTATATGTATTCCACATGAGTCCAGACTTTCGTTGCAAATTTTACAAAATGCATAGTAGGCACAGCCGACCCGATTGACTCTGCACCATAACAAACATCACTAAAACATTCCTCTTTCTAAATGATAATCTGCATTATTTTTCTCCGAGTTCTCATTCCATGTTTTCTATTTTTAATTATTGCTTTCTTATTTTGGCAATATGTAAAATATTTCAAACAAAACAGCATATAAGTTAAAGTGCATTCTTCTCATAAATTAACAATCCAATTATAATTATAATATAAAAATCCCATTTCATATGCCACGCTCAACAACACTGAACAAAATAACGCCACAAATAGTCTCCATCTTGGAAACTTCAAATGATCTTATCAAACTGAATATACATGTATATCTAACCACGTGGCATTTTCCGCGGGAATTCAGAAAAAAGGAATCTATTTTTAGTAACAGGAAATGATAAACAACAAAACATTGAACCATTTCTTTTAAGATTTTTTAAACCATACACAATATTATTTCAACATCATTGGTCACAATGTAAATTAATACAATCAGTCAACAACCACAACATCTTTATCAACAAATACATTTAAATAAAATCCACGTGACAAAATGAACCAATCAAAACGTTTGATCAATGGCCGCCATTTTGTTCAATGATCAATCTTCGTATTTGACTGCATTCCTAACCCTAACCCTAACCCTAACCCAAAGTGAGTAATAGAAAATATCAAAGTGAGTAATAGACTGAGTAATAGAGGGTAATCAAAGTGAGTAATAGAAAATATCAAAGTGAGTAATAGACTGAGTAATAGAGTGAGTAATAGAAAACATCAAAGTGAGTAATAGACTGAGTAATAGAGGGTAATCAAAGTGAGTAATAGAAAATATCAAAGTGAGTAATAGACTGAGTAATAGAGGGTAATCAAAGTGAGTAATAGAAAATATCAAAGTGAGTAATAGACTGAGTAATAGAGTGAGTAATAGAAAATATCAAAGTGAGTAATAGACTGAGTAATAGACTGAGTAATAGAGGGTTATGGTGAGCTAACCCTAACCCAGTTTCAATTTCAATATTTCAATTTCAATATTATTTATTCACTCAGATCATACAAACATGACAACATGAGGTAATAATACAATTACATAATAAATGAGGCTTCAGAATCAGACAGTATCAAAATAACATTTTATATAAATTGTTAACATAAATATTGCGGGAGAGTCAGTATTAAAACATATACTTCAATAGGGTTCTCCACAGCATTAAATTTATAAAATTTTTGGCTCATTTGAATCTTAATATAATTTCTTTAATAAATAAACAAAGTTTTTTGTAATCTGGAATGTTAACATCAGTGTTCATAAGAAGATCAATAGAATGTATATTATGTTTCTGTAAATAGTTATGTTTCAAAAAACGTTTCCTGCTGTTATCAAAACAAGGACACTCAAAAATATAATGAAATTCATCACCAATTGATCTATCACACAGTGTACAGACACGTCTGTTAAGTTCGATGTTGTTCCAACTTCCGGTTTCTACTGGCATTTTGTTATTTCTTGTTCTAAATTTTATCATGTATTGTAAAAATTTTGATGGAGTTTTTACAAGATATGTTTCAAAACAAAAATTATGTTTGAATAATCTATAATTTATACATTTACTAGAATTCTCAATATCAGAATACCACTCATTTAAAAATAAATCTAATAATTTTTGTTTGACTGACATCGTTAACCATTTATGGTTATGAAATTCATGGTTATGCCAAATGTTATACAGACCACATTCATACAAAATATTCTGAACAAATTTTATCCACTGAAATCTTAATCTAGATACAGTCTGGGAGTTATTAAAATTATTTAACAAAACACGATATATCAAACACGGTAACTTGTTCTGTTGTGGTATGACTAAGTCAGACCAATATGATATAATTCTACATTTAATTTCAATAGATAGTGGTTTAACACAGTAAGGATATGCTTCAAATTCGCGGTTAGGATGAGTAAGGGGTAATAGGTAATAGGTAAGGTAGTGAGTAAGGTACTAGGTAGGTTAACCCAGTAAGGATATGCTTCAAATTCGCGGTTAGGATGAGTAAGGGGTAATAGGTAATAGGTAATAGGTAATAGGTAAGGTAGTGAGTAAGGTACTAGGTAGGTTAACCCAGTAAGGATATGCTTCAAATTCGCGGTTAGGATGAGTAAGGGGTAATAGGTAATAGGTAATAGGTAAGGTAGTGAGTAAGGTACTAGGTAGGTTAACCCAGTAAGGATATGCTTCAAATTCGCGGTTAGGATGAGTAAGGGGTAATAGGTAATAGGTAATAGGTAAGGTAGTGAGTAAGGTACTAGGTAGGTTAACCCAGTAAGGATATGCTTCAAATTCGCGGTTAGGATGAGTAAGGGGTAATAGGTAATAGGTAATAGGTAGGGTAGTGAGTAAGGTACTAGGTAGGTTAACCCAGTAAGGATATGCTTCAAATTCGCGGTTAGGATGAGTAAGGGGTAATAGGTAATAGGTAATAGGTAAGGTAGTGAGTAAGGTACTAGGTAGGTTAACCCAGTAAGGATATGCTTCAAATTCGCGGTTAGGATGAGTAAGGGGTAATAGGTAATAGGTAATAGGTAATAGGTAAGGTAGTGAGTAAGGTACTAGGTAGGTTAACCCAGTAAGGATATGCTTCAAATTCGCGGTTAGGATGAGTAAGGGGTAATAGGTAAGGTAAGGGGTTAAGAGTAATAGAAAATATCCGTTATTTTCATCATTATTATTAGGTTTTTAATCGGTCCGAGCCCCATTAGCCTACATATATATTATTATTATATACCGCAGTGTAGGCAATGATCCTGGCTACGATTTGAGACTATTTTCAGGTGTCTGGGTTGACTAAAGGGCTCTCAGCAAGTGTTTGAAGGTCACTTGTACGGGTTCGAACTTGTATTTGTCCGTTATTTTCATCATTATTAATAGGTTTTACATAGATCCGAGCCCCATTAGGCTACATATATATTATTAGTATATAGCGCCGTGTAGGCACGAATCCTGGCTACAATTTGAGACTATTTTCAGGTGTCTGGGACGACAACAGCGGTCTCTGTAAGTGTTTGAAGTTGACTTGTCTGCTTTTCAAGTTGTACTTTTTCATTTTTTCACAGATTACTAAAGGGTTTGCAACCCGGTTAGAGTCCCAGAGAATAGATATATACACATAACATGCAGGGTTGTCAAGGTGCAGATCCTGGCAACAAAATGTGACCACTTTCATGTATCTAGGACGACTACAGGGGTCTCAGCAAGTCCTTGAAGGTGACTTGTCCGGGTTCGAACTTGTATTTAGCCGTTATTTTCAGCATTATTAATAGGTTTTTCATCGGTCCGAGCCCCATTAGCCTACATATATATGATTATTATATAGCGCCGTGTAGGCACAGACCCTGGACACAATTTGAGACTATTTCCAGGTGTCTGGGACGACTACAGCGGTCTCTGCAAGTGTTTGAAGTTGACTTGTCTGATTTTCAACTTGTACTTTTCCACTTTTTAACATATAACTAAAGGGTTTGCAACCCGGTTCGAGTCCCAGAGACTAGATATATACACATAACATACAGGGCTGTGTAGGTGCACATCTTGGCGACAAAATGAGACCATTTCTAAGCATTTCAGTCAAACAGGGATGTCTCAGTAACGATTTGAAACAGCCCGATCAGGGTTCGAACTTGTATTTAGCCGTTATTTTCATCATTATTAATAGTTTTTTTAATCGGTCCGAGTCCCATAGGCTACAAATATATTATTATTATATAGCGTCGTGTACGCACGGATCTTGGCTACAATTTGAGACTATTTTCAGGTGCCTGCGACGACTACAGGGCTCTCAGCAAGTCTTTGAAGGTGACTTGTCTGCTTTATAAGTTGTACTTTTCCACTTTTTAACAGATTACTAAAGGGTTTGCAACCCGGTTCGAGTCCCAGAGAATAGATATATACACATAACATGCAGGGTTATATAGGTACACATCTTGGCGACAAAAGTAGACCATTTTAAAGTATTTCAGTCAATTACGGAAGTCTCAGTAAGGATTTAAAGGAACTCACAACAATGATATATTAAACACATTCTTATATGAAAATTGCTGTCTTACGTCATTTTCAATTATTAATTATGACATTATTAATAAAGATATTTTTGTAAATTATATCTAATATTATATGCAAGAGTCCCCTCTAAATATAAAACAAATAATATTAAACATTCGTCAGTCCGTCTGTTCAGGAAAGGGCGAAGAAAATGGCACATTTTATATATAATATAGCGCATTCTATAAATAGCACATTGTTACCATGTGATAATATTGACCTATCAAAATCATTTTGGGCATCATTTGAATGCCCATTTGGGCATCCACGCCATTGAGGTCTTACCCTAACCCTAACCCTAACCCTAACAATACGAATTTCTACAGAAATTCAATTTTGCTGGGCGTTTTACTTTCATATCGCCATATATACATGTACTCTTCTGCGGATTTTCGAAACAATATATTTATTTCCCTAAATGTATGTTTGATTTCCTACTGTATGATCTATCTTTTCTATATGAACTTTAACAAATAAATTTAGCTTTAAATATGTAATTATTGTGAAAAATACTACATGTGCACTTTGCACTGGTTTAGTGGATCTGTTCATTTAAGAGTTTATTTGTTTATCTGAATGTCTACATGATTTACTACTGAACAGAACAGTTCTCTTTTATTTTATCCCAAGGTACATGGCATTACAACATGGAATTGTACTATATAAAGATACAATATAATATTAAACAAACTTCCGGTAGGACTTTATAATCCGATGAATAGAGGTTTGTTTCAAATAGCATAAGGATCTAGTGAAATTTGATTATTAAGATGTTTATTTTTGGGTAATCCTTAATCGCACAATATACAAGCTTAAAGTTAAGGTATATATTATATCTTTTTCGATGGTATTGTTTGTTAAAAAGAAAATAAAAAATAGCACAATAGAGTGTCTCCATTAATATTTTCACGCTAAATACCCTTTGAAAATAACATTTAAATATGTACAGTAAAACATAAATACATGCATTTGAATAATATTATATACAAAAGACAACACTCTTAATATGATCAGAAATATATAAAGAGGTTTTAAAAGAATAAAAAAAATATATGAAAATAGAAAGTATGTGTGTTTTTAAGTAAGAATTATTTCAGAGATAATTTAAATTCATACTAGTCAATATAACCCTTATCAAAGAGCATGTATTATGCATCTTGCACACGGGACATAAAGGGGATATATCGATTATTGTTTTTCATTATTTTGTTTTAATCTGGAGACAGTGTGCAAGTATGGGATTTTCTTGCTATCTTTATAAAAGAATGGATCCTCACCTATTTTGCTATTTATTTGAAAGTTATTGCCTTTGCTTATTTGCACGGTCCAATATTTAAGTGTGCATTTTTTTCCCGCTTAACATCTTATTTCAGCGTATTTATTTCATAAATTTGATATTGACCGTACTCTCATATCTAAACAATCATCTCAGTATACCCACTGCATTGCTTAAAAATATAATTCCTTATATCCTCTGTATATATATTAAAATGTATATGTAGAAAATACGATTTCGTATATCCAATGTATATATGGAAAATACGATTCGTATATCCCCTGTGTGTAGAAAATACTGTTCCGTATATCCTCTGTATAGGTTATGTAGAAAATACAAACCTGTATATCTTAAAATACGGTGCTTTATATCCACTGTATATCTATAGTATACTAGAAAAAATGACATTAATAAAGTCCGTATACGGGATTTTTATCTCCATATACTACATAAATAAGATTAAATATTCATACATGTATATTGAACAAAATACGGAATTCGTACATGCCTGGTTCATATACGGAGTTCTCGTATACCCGAGTTTCCCTTTACGGACTCGTATACATGGTTTGTATATTAGACAAATATATCCCGTACACACCAGTATATGTTACAAATACGATACCGTATATTTCCGTATATTATTGTATTTTTGCAGTGCAATTACTACGCCAAGTGGTGCTTTTGCTATTTTATCTACAAAGATTTATCACCAATTGATAATATCCAAGATGAGGAACATAAGTTATATGTTTTATTCAGCAACCTTAAGTTTTGACGCCAGATCAATTTGCAATATTTTATGTGAAATGCTGTAGAGGTTTGATTTTTGATGAAAAATAAAATAATGCAAATTGCCGAGTTAATTGTAGTCCTATCTTGGTGATTTCTGAAAACATTTTGTTTCTGGGTTGCAAATTCAAAACTTCAACGTTCCTGCTTTAGTTTTGAAGTGTTTATTTTGTTGTATGCCGTTACAAGCATCATAAAATGAACAATAAAAAATTGGCAAAATAGTCTGAAGCATACACTAGACATTTAATCGTGTTCCAACATAACAAAAAAGATGCATATATTTTTTGTGGCCAATATATAACTTATCTATATCAAAATGGTCAAAAAAAATCTTATAAACAATGGTTAGTTTTAATTTCCATAATATTACATAAATGTATATTAAAATACTTGATTTATAAGTGAAATAAAAACATAACCAGTTTTAATCAAATCAAACTTATTTTTTTCAATCAGTGCATTAAGCACTAAATGAATATGTTAGGCAAATTTTGATATAGCGATCACTGATAAGCATTTAATCATTAGACAAATTAATAAAAACTCGACTTTACCCGGTGCCATATTTGTTATAAACGACAGCTTGATGGATCAAAACAATAATTATTATCTACTAAAAAATCAATGCCAAGACAATTTTTGCACATTTTTACGGAATAAACCTTTAGAGTAGTTAGTTATGTATCACGATTATCACAATTGCTACACTTTCGATTATTATATAAACCGTATAAATGTTTTTTGCAATATCACGTGAAATTAATTATGTTTATATTCTGTGAAGTAATAGAAACAGTATTGATGCCTGCTTTCATATAATGGACAATATGTTGAACCGGTTGCAAAGGTAGCGTTTTTTTGTATTTAGATAATCCAAAATGTTTGTTTGTATAATAAATGTAATTACTACTATAGCAAATTGTTTATAATATTAAATTCCTTCTTTTTCCTTTTTTAGAATGTTTTTCTTGATATCGTATGCTGTCATGATATTTTGTATGACAATAACCTTTGTCGAGACAATTTGGAAAAACTCATCCTTTCTTAAATATAAAGTCAGTGAAAAATCAGATATGCAAAACGGCTGGTAAGTTAAGTTTTTTCTTGAATTTTTTGAAGTTGTACTAGTTATGTGATTAGTTTCATTTACACGATAAAAAAGATGGAAATTGACCAGCTTCATACTTTTATTGTATTAATTGCAACAGTCAATTTGCAAATGTTAAATTGGCCTTGGTTACTTCAAGGTTTCTTATTTTATTTTTTTAGCTCAAAATAAATATTAAGACTTATTTACTTTGAATATATAGGATTACTCTTACTAAAGTAGTTTTTGCTCCGTTCCGAAATCGGAAAAGAATAAAGTGTTTATTTTCTTTTAATGTATACGCTATACTCACTTTTCAATATACTCTTTATTATAAACACTTAATTTTGCTTTCATTAAAGGACTGAACAGATTAAAAGTATTCAAAAGGAAGTATATAAAGAATTCAATGTGCAAGATCTGCTTGCATCTCAATGTCAGGACCATTTACTAGCAGCAGACCCATCTAAATCAACAATTGAAATAAAAGGTTAGTGTTATTTATGCATGTTTTCCATGAATATTATCAAGGTGGTATTTTCTACATTATTTGCGATGGTGGTAATTTCAGAGATCTCATAATTTATATTTATCAAAAGTAAGTTTTTTATAAATTCATTACGAAAAATGGGTCAATATTAGAATGATTTGTTATATCGTCTAAAAGTTATTTGTCACAAAATAGATTTTTGTTGCTTACCTAGTTGACGAATTGTTTTTTGTACATTTTCATTTGATTACGTATTAGAATGAGAATAACAACTAATAAGGCATGAAGAAGCATTCATTTAAGCATCGATGATTCAGTATAATGTTTTATTTTTTATATTCCCTCAGAAAATAAATAGAAGCTCACAAAAGTAACAACAAGAGAAATATCGGAATATACATGAACAATTTTCATGTTTCCTCTGTTAAATGATAAGAAAAGTAAATACTGATGATAGTGCATAACCCTTATGATAGTGCATAACCCTTAGAAAAGTTACTTGATCATTGTGCATAACAGTTTGTCAGCTTTCTTTTGTTCTTACAATGACCTTTAACAACATTCCTTGATGACTTTGTGCTAGAGTCATGGTAATATTATAGAAGGATCTCATATGTGATGACGATTCATAGATAGTTAAGAAAATTTACTGATACTTACCCTAAAATTCATTGATGAATTATATCAAGTTCATAATTTGAATAATTAAACATATTAGGCCACACTATGTATTTTAGGGACACTCGAGTAAGTATTTCAGTTATGTAGAAAATATTAAAAGTAATATTTAACCTTATATAAACATAGACCAACATTTAAAATTGTGCAATATTATATTTTAAGAACATCATTTTATTTATCGTGACAAAGTTGTTTAGAAAATTAAATGGCACTTTTGTAGAATAAAGTTCCAAATTTTTCTCCCTCCAATTTAGAATAAAAAGAACAAAAGCATTTAAAGGTAAGGAGTAAATTGTGACCTTCGGTCCTGATTGTAATAATAACAAAGAGTTTATACGTTGTATTTGATATTCTGTCTTAGATGGAAAGGAGGTAATCGTTAAAGATAATTATTTCACTTAGGAAGAATCATTTGTGAACGAATATATCTCATATCTCAGTTATATTTATGAATTCGATATAGCATATTTTATTAAAAGTACAGTCATCCGGTGAACCTCGAAGTTTACGAACAAAAATCCCTTTCAATAATTGATCTTTACGAACTATTTCCTTTTGGATGGTTTTGTTTTACTAACACATGGTGATAATTTCCTCTCAACCCCATTTAATATTTAAAGGGGTATAAAAGCTCTTTAGTATTTTATTTTACCAGAAACTGTTCTTTTATATTACTTTTGAAGAAATCGTTCATTGCTAGCAACACCAATGCTGGAGATAAGTTTCTGCCAAACAAACTACATATAACTGACAAATCATGTGTTGGATGACAACTTACCCAATTGAAAAAGAAATGTCTGAGTTTATCGTTTTGTGACGTTAGTCGACTTTAAGCTTTGAGCAAAATAGCCAATTAATGAAGCTGATACTTTTGTGGAGTGTTACAAGTATAGCTCTTTTAAAATGCCTAAAAATTAGATGTTAATCTTACTTTTACCCTGCTGAAATTAAACGATTAAGGGGGATCAGTGTTGTAGTATGTTTACCATACTGTTATCTTCGAACAGACTATAGCTGGTCTATACATGTAACCTGGCTGGAAGCGCAGTAAACATAATCTCGCGCCAAATTTATAATCAGCTAAGACTGAATTTCCCGCTCGAACCCCCGGACAGTAAACTTACTTCATATTCAGGGGATCTCATTAAAGTTCAGAGAAAGGTCACGTTGCAGTGTACCTATAGAGAAACTAATAACTTTCTATGTAGTAGATACTTCCGCCCCATCTCTTATAGGTTTAAAGTCAAGCCTCGACCTAGGTTTATTAAACCTTACCTACTCAGTAGATCAATCGCCAGTACATAATATTGAGCGCATGACCAAACAAATAATATGTCTGACTATGTCTGACTATGGGGACTTATTCAAAGGTATTGGTAAGCTGTAAATGTAAATTACATGTAAAAGAAACTGCGGTTCCTACAGTTAACCCCCCTCGCAAAGTTTCAGAGGCACTGAAAAAATGGCTTAAGCAAGAACTTTCACGTATGGATAGTGATAGAATAATTGTCAAGGTTACAGAACCCACAGACTGAGTAAATTCTATCGTGGTTGTTGAAAAATAAAAAAACTGGCCAACTTAGAATATGTATAGATCCGAAAGCGTTAAATGACGCAATCTGCAGGCCCCATTATCCGATGTCTACACTTGAAAAATGTGACGTCTAATCTCACAGGTGCGTCACACTTCAATATACTTGACATCACACATGCGTATTGGAGTGTAGAATTAGAGAAAGAATCGTCAATGTTGACAACTTTCTCGACGCCATTTGGCAGATATCGCTATTTAAGGCTATCATTTGTCATATCTTCATCTGGTGACATTTTTCAACAAAAGGTGTACGAAATATTTCAAGGTCTGCCAGGCGTGCATGCTAGTGTTGACGACATACTTATTTGTGGCCGCACAAAAGATGAGCATAACGCAAACTTGCGCAATACCCTTGATCGCGCACGGGAGGTAGGAATTAGGTTTCACCCTGATAAATGCATCATTGGTATGCCTGAAGTTCATTTTCGGACACATTATCTCAGCCCAAGGTTTAAAGCCCGACCCAAGCAAAATCGAAGCCATGACGAGGCTCGAAATCCCAAATACACGTGCTAAGCTGGAAATGTTTCTAGGGATGGTCAATTATATGGCAAAATTCATGCCAAACTTGGCTGAGGTCACTTCCCATCTGCGTAGCCTCAAGCAAAAGGATGTTGAGTTCACGTGGGAAAATTCCCACACTCAAGCATTTCAGGAAGTCAAAAATATCATTACAAATGCCCCAGTTCTTGGTTACTTCGACCTAGACAAACAACTTGTCCTTGAGTGCGACTCGAGGCTAAATGGAACTTGTTCTTGTCTCAAAGAGGGAGGCAGACGAATTGCATACGCATCAAAAAGTTTCACTAATACTGAAAAAATGTATGCGCAAATTGAGACAGAAATGTTAGCCATTGTTTTTAGATGTAAGCGATTCCATTAATTTACATTTTGAAGACCCATAATTGTTAAGATCGATCATAAACCGACCGAGTCAATTATGAAAAAAAAACCCTTTCGGCGGGCCCTCCTAGACTTCAGAGAATGCTGCTGCAAAAGTACAAAGTAACTGTAGAGCATGTTAGCGGTAAGAATATACCGGTCAGCGATTTTTTTATCGCGACATTTACTACCTGAAACAATGCCTACATTGATTGAAGGTCTCGATCTGCATGTACATTCAATAAAGAAACAGTTGTTTGTTACTGATAGACGTTTAAATATCATAAGGCAAGCTATTACGCAAGACAAATCCATGGAGATATTGAAAGAAACTATACTAGCAGGCTGGCCTGAAATGAGGTCACAGTGCATCCCAGAAATAACCTAATTCTGGAATCACCGGGACGAATTATCAGTGGAGGATTCCTTGATAGTTCGTGGTCAAAAGGTCATAATACCACATAACCTTCGCCAGGAAATGCTGACACAGGTTCACACAGGTCACTTAGGCGTTACCAAAACTATTGAATGCGCGAAAGATAACATGTTTTGGCCAGGAATGGCAAAACAAATCACAGATTATGTTTTGAAATGCCCTATCTGTCTAATACATAGAGATTCAAACGCGAAAGAGCCTCTGCTCCCGCATGAATTTCCATGCCGACCCTTTGAGAAAATAGGAACTGATATTTTCCAGTTTGATGGAAAGCAATATCTAGTCACAATCGATTAATACAGTCGATTTTTTTGAAATTTTTGAAAGATTTATTACCTGATACAAGGTCAGGCACAGTTATCCAAAATCTGAGAGTACATATGTCGCGTTATGGTATATGCGATGTATTAATCAGTGACAATGTACCTCAATTTTCCTCGCAAGAATTTGAAGATTTCACGCGCGAGTGGAAATTTGAGCATAAAACATCTTCTCCATATTTTCTAAGATCAAATGGTATGGCAGAGAAAGGTGTTTCAGTTGCTAAAAGGTTACTGACTAAAGCAAAAGAAAGTGGTCACAACCCGTATACAGCTTTGCTTGAATACAGAAATACCCCCCTCGACTGTGGTTTTACACCAGCGCAGTTACTTATGAGTCGTAGAACTAAGTCAATTGTCCCAATCACACCCAAACTGTTACAACCTAAAACCATATCTTCTTTCCTGATCTTAAAAAATAACGATAGGTCAAAGTTCACGCAAAAGAAAAAACACGACAAAAAACGACAAGCCCCTATGCCCCTTTATGTAAATGACTCGGTTAGAATTCGTTCAGGAAAAATTTGGGAACCAGCCAAAATCATCAATAAACATGAAGAAAGGTCATATTCTGTTGTTACACAAGTATATCGTCGTAACAGGCAACATCTTTTGAAAACAGAGGAAATTTTCTCTCTCTTTGACCCCATGCAACTCAGTATTTATGCTGATCCTGTTATAAGTAAAGAGCAAACATGTTTAAACAATCAAGATCAGATTAACCGCAATACTGAAGGCCCTTATATAACACGGTCAGGGAGAGTGGTGGAAAGCAATCAGCGCTATTCAAGTAGTCAGTGGGTGATATAAACATCATAAACATATCATTTTATCTTTGACACCACTTGTTGTACTCTAATCAAAACAAATTATTATTTTGATATGTACTATAAATTTTATAGATTTTATTAATTTCCTACATACACTGTTTCATCTATATTTAATTTACTTAATGAAAAAAAAGTGTGTTACTTGTTTTACACCTTATTACAATTATGAATTGATTTCTGATAATACTAGAATATTATTGTTAAAAACTTAAAGAAGGGAGATGTAGTATGTTTACCATACTATTATCTTAGAACAGATTATAGCTAGTCTATACATGTACCCTGGCTGGACTTATCCGGCAGTCGTTGACCAGCTACACTTGTAGTAAGATCGCTTGATCATATCATTATATTACTAGTCTTGTAAATAAACTGTTTATATATATGTATATCGGACTTTGTTATTATACTTGACTTTATTATATAGTTACAACGATACAACAAGTGTCATTTGTGTTTAGGTCATTGACTTAAAGCCGGCTGCCCTTTAGCGCAGTAGGTTGGAATACCGCCATGAGCATATTGATTGTCGGCGATTCTACTCAAGCGCCCTTTCGTGCTTGGAAAATATGCATGAAGGTTCACTTGATTGCAATGTAAAACAAAAACAAAGCAATATAACATGCAATGGTCACGCAATCGGGTCAAAGTAACATCAAATCATACAAAAGACAATACGGTTTTGTAATCTTGAGAATTCAGTCTGTCTCGTATGGAATTAAATTTAGGTTTAATTGCACACGTCTCCCCTTGTGTAAGTTTTGTTCCAGAAACGGACTCGAAAGTATGTCTTTAAGCTTGAAGTTTACCGCACAAGTAACCTCAATTAACGTTTGACATTTTGTGTCTTTTTTGGGACAGAGTCGAAGTAAACAAAGAAGAAACAAATTCTAACTTTTTGCTTATAACGAACAGCTTATACGTTTTGACTGAGTGTTATTAAAACTTTTTATAGCATATTTGTTTTTAATTTTACAACCAACTTTAACGAATTGTGCCAAGGAGGTAATCATATTTTAAAATATTTTTCGGCAAAGTGCAATTGTAAAACCTAAAGCCGTACCAAAGAGTGCAATGGTTCACAAATATAGATTAAGATAAGGGTGTATTGCATTAGAAATCAAGGTTTCAGTTTTTGCAAAACTGAATTTCTCGAAGGCAGTTAATTTCCGTCTATTTGCCATTCGTCTTTCAACGCTGATTTAAACGATCATGTAGGATTATTAGATGGTCACTTGCGTAGAAATTTGTAATTACTGGTTAGTTATCCTGTATAGCCTCTGTTGGATCGACCGCCAAAATATGAAAAACGTGACAAACAAAACAAAGGAATACAAACAAATAGGTATGTCAGCGCAAGATTATTACAGAACATATTCAAAACAATAACTTCAACCTGTTTCAGACAGATCCTGCATTGCTATTAGCCTAAATTGTAACTATACTGTTTTCAAACAAACTGAATTATCCGTGAACTTTACAAATAGCATTTTCAGTTGGGATTTTATACACATTTAGTTCGTCCAAGTAACTTTTATTACAAAAATTCTTATTTAAAATTTGTACTCTTTCAGAACAACACAGAATTGCAGTCGGCGATAGCATTGATATTAAATTAATCATTTATGATGGTTACGGAAATATGAAAACAAAGGGCGGGGACTACCTCAGAACAAGACTTTATAATGACAATTTAAAAGCTTATGCCAATGGGGAGGTACTAGATCATAAAAATGGATCCTATACAATTAGGCACAACGCACTATGGACAGGTTTAGCAAAAGTAGAGATAGAGCTTTTATATCCAAAAGAGATTCTTGCAGCAATTATTCGCAGAAGACATCATTGGGTAATATGTTATAAAACATAAATGTGCAAATAAAAGTATTAATGACAAGAGAGTAAATTAAATTACTTGCGACCTGTTCTTACTGTACTAAGTCTAAATTACTTTAATGCTTAATTTTTCAGATGTTTACTTTCATAATAATATCTGACATTCTATTGTTCACAATAGATGTTCATAATGTTAAATCAAGCTTATAACTAAATCACTAAATCAGTTGTTAAGTTCAACCTTTAAGATTAACGCATGAAGTAAGAATATAAGCATGCTCACTATATAGATACGTCTAAATATGATGCTTATTTCATTCTCTTGCTTTCTTTAGGGATTCTGTTTTTCTCTATTTTGTTAATTTAGTGAATATATTTGTATAATTTTACAGCATTTTAACGATATACGTGCAATATTCGAGTCTTTTAATACATCCGAATCAACGCAATGTCATTCAGACAAGAACGTATTTAAAAGAAACAAAAAAGGTTCAGATTTGTGCAATTTTTCTTATTGGAATAACACAATGCCTTGGTATTGTCTGAAACCTGTCGACAGAACTTTGTCGTGTAATGATTTGAAGAAATACGAACGCAATTGGATTGGCTATTTAGAAGGCCTTAATGAATGTGAACTTCGTCTTGTAAAAAGGTACAAATTTAAAGAATGTTATGGAATATCACGTATATTCCTTTTTTCCTTTTATCCTTGGGAACGAACTTTATTTTTAGATTTATACTGGTGAAACGCGTATATTAAATCCAGATTTTACAAATGATAATATCCTTGCTCTTGCTGTGCTTCTTATATTTGCATAATTGCTTTATTATTTTGACATGCAGGGCTTCTAAGACTTGCTGCAATTCCTTATTTAGCTACTTAACTACCGCGTTTCTTGAAGGTCTTTCACATTTTTGACTTGCTGTGCTTCTTGCACTGCAATTCACAGTCTTGTTTAATTGTGTAAAGCTTACCCTTTAAAAGACTTGTTTTATATTTGAACGCTAATCACCTGAAAGAATTGCGTTGATACCCGACGTGGAACTTGCTCTAAGACTTACATTTCTTCTTGAAAGCGGACCTTTTTAAGGCTAGCGGACAACTGCTTGTCTAATGTTTTTAACAAGTAGGCAGACCATCTCTAAAAATCTGAAAACAAAGTGATTCCTTAGGAAGCATTAATCACAACAAAATTACAAGAGAATTGCAGACTCGTTTTGATTGAGTCTGTACATGAGGGATAATGAATACGTGCAACAACAATCACGCCCCCTAGCACCGGCTTGAGCGGTACTCAATTCTCAACACTTAATAGTGCTGGCATCAATGATCTCGAAGGACCAGAAAAATAAAACAACACTGAAGACATCCTTCTAAGACTTCTTCCACTCAGAATAGGACCTCCTTCCAAACGTGTTTCCTTTCTTGAAGGAAATACCTTTTTCCCACATTTGAATAAATCTTTCACTTCATCATGCGCATCTTTTTTATTGGTAGTCATATTCCGTCGCTCTGGTGTTTCGCCTTTGTCACTCGTTGAAAGCACGTTTGAGGATTATGTATTTTACTATGTGCATCTGCAAAATATCATGGCTTGCTGATTGACTATGATCTGTTTCTAGACCATTTCTACATCATTAAAGAAACATTGAATTGATTGTTCACATTCTCAAGTCATAAACTAATCGGTGATTAAAATGACCGTATGTCTTGTGCCGTCCTCGTCTTTCATGAGTCATATTCCATTGCATTTGTGTTTCACCTTTGTCACTCGTTGGAATCACCTAGATATTTTTGAGGATTATGTCTACCATCATGTGCTTCTGCAAAATATCATGGCTTTGCTAATTGACTACGGTCGTGCATGACCCTTTGCAGTCTTTGCTTCAAAAGCATGTCTACATCATTAAAGAAAATTTGATTTGAATGCATTCCGTCTCCTGTCTCTATATGTATATAGGCTTTATTATAAATGTGTTAAGTATCTATTTCCGAATCCCTTCCTGGAACCAACCAGTACTAAGCAATGAATGTAAAGTTTCTTGCTCCAGGAAACAACGACTTGCCCCTAACAGGGTTTGAACCAACGCGGTCAGCAATCCTTAGATTACTATTCCGACGCGTTAACCACTCGGTCACTTAAGGTAGTACACCCCTAATGCACTGTCTCCACTTTAAAGAGTTTTCAAATAGGCTAAAATCACTGTAAAGTGTATTGAAACTGAGGGGGGCATGGGTTCAAACCCCAGAAGGGGCATTTTTTTTCTTTCTTTTTTTTCTTTTTAACATTTTTTATTAATCTCTCAGACCCCCTTTGAAAGAAAAAAGTGTTTTATTTGAATTATTTAATTATTGTAGGTATTTATTTACTAAATAATGCCAAATTTAATAGCAAATATGATACCAGATATTTTCAAAGTTTAATAATAAAAACTAAACGGTAAAAGTATTTTATATTTTGCAAGACCAACCAATATACATTAAAAAAATTTAGGCAAAATTTGAAAATAGCCCCTCATTTTGGAAAATTTTAGGGATATTTTAAATAAGGCTTTTTACATAGGGAAATGGTCAAATTAGTGTTAAAAGTGGGTGGGGTAGGGTTACATTTTTATACATATTAAAAACATTTCGTTTAAAAACAATCATTTTGCTTGTTTAATTTGTTACCTAAATGTCATTATTTATTTTTTAATTATGAGCAAAAGAAAAACATTTTACATAATGATGATATTATAGATTATTTAGAGTTTCCTCATTTCTGAAAAAATCCATTCTAATGGCAAAGTTTAAGTTCATAAAAATGTCCATAACTCATAAACCACACGGTAAATTTTGTTTAAATTTTGCATACAGGTGACATTTAAGGCATATAACCGTCCTATGTTGTCAAATTTACAATTCCTTATAGTGCCCATTAGGGGTGTACTACTTTAATTAGCATGATAGTATATACTATTTGTGTGCTATGGCACTGCTAACAAAGTAATACATTAGTTGTGATTCGATTGTATAATTCTGTGTTTGACGTGTTTTGGACATACTGTGATATTCTGATGTGGACATAAGGCATTGGTTAAATTTCGAAAATTGAATTTCTAAATGACCATTTTGGTGTTTTACTTATTTAACCTTTTGTAACCATAACAACTGTTAGAATTTCACTAGACAGGGATTCATTTTGTTTACATTGTCTCGTTTATAGGAACATGATGGGGCTAAGAGTGAGGTTTGGTGGAAATATTGAAAGAAATCAACGATTTTGTTTAAAATGCAATATGAATGTAGTGGAAAAGGAATATCATTTTTTACTTGCTTGTCCGTATTACATTGATCTACGAAGAGAATATTTACCTAAATACTACTGCTCTTGGCCAAATGTACACAAATTTAAAATGTTAATGAATAACTCACAACAGAATGTTATAAAGAAATTATCTCAATTTATTTACCATGCAACTTTAGCTAGAGAAACAACTGGTAGCTAATTCCAACTAATTTCAAACATTAATTATAATAGTCTTAATATTTATTTCATGACTGTGATATTATATATGTAATATTACTTTTCTCGTATTTAGATCTTTTATGCATTTGTTAATATGTTAATATGTTTATATGTATGTATACACGCCATTATTGTTTATGGCAATAGACATTATGTTTGTGCCTTAATAAAATCTTTGAATCTTGAATCTTGGTGCACCATTAACCGGTTTAAACTTCCTAGCAGTCATTATTATGCTTCTGACCGTTCCAAGGCGGCGCCCCTCTGTGTTCTTCAGCTGTATGTCTATGTTGTTTCATACTTATTTGGTGACACTTTTGCTAGTTTCCCTTGTTGTTTTCTCGTCTATGGTATGTATCTTCCCCTATGCCTCTAGTCTTTTTTTTTATTTACCCCTTCCCCCCTTCCTCTGGTCTCATGTCCCCTTCCCTTACCCCTGTGCCCTTGACTTTTTTGGCCTGTTTTCAATCATTTATTTGTTTTCTTTGAATACCTTATCACGTACAAATTATTCCCTATTATCTAATCATTTGTTTGTTTTCTTTGAATTCCTTATCAGTTACAAATTATTTATCATTTGAGTGATTAGCCTGTCTGTGCTCTGCATTGTGTCCTTTCCTATTTTGTTGGGGTCCGCCTGGGCAACTTGACACTGGTTGTTGTTGCTGGTTATTTTGGGGTTGCGTTCATTGAACACCGCCTTTCCTTGTTGATCTTGTTTATCATATTGGATGATTGTGAGATAAACTTTACTTTCATATAGTTTGTTTTATTGTAAAAACTGTTTTTCCTTAATTAAAAATTTTAAAATTTTGTGCTGCGTTATCTTCCCTGTTGCGTTTAGATCGTAACATATCATTAACATATCGTTGATTAACACAGCCGTCTTTCTTGTGGCACCCGTCATTTATGAGAAAAAAACACAAGACGTCAAGAATATACCCTCCAATCTTAGCTTCTAAACTTGATCTGCGCCCTTGTTCGGTTAGCTGTTACAATTTTGTAATGTTATTTTCAGAGGTAGAGAATTGCCAATACCCAAAGATTGTATCAACCTTTAATTTATCGCTTACGTCTCGAATATATCGATGTAAGCTTTACATTTGTTCTTTCAATTTTAAAAGGGCCTTGACGGTAGGCCTTTTGCAACTTCCGGCTCTTACTTGACTTACCAGACATGCTTGACTTGTTGCGCTTCATAGACATAATGCACCATTTGGGACTGGCTGCTATTTCTGGCATGATGTTTACAAAAGACATGTGCATACCTTATGTCAAATAAGCTTTCATATCCCCATGTCTTGTTTTCATAGGCCTAGTCAATATTTAACAAAGTAGCATTAGCGGATGTTTACCAGCGGAAATACGGGTTTCTGTAATAAAAACACATAGTGAGCTTTACTCAGTAATGCACCAATATAGTGTAAACATTGTTTTCAGGGTGGTTGATCCGGATATCCTCCCGGGCTATTTATTGGGTCTTTCTCGATGTTGTTCGACCGCTGATTGATTTGGTGGTGATGTTGTGAAATAATATTGCAACGAAAGCGTTTCTATACTTTCACTATTTCATATTTATAAAGAACGTAAAATTCACTCATTTTGGACATAAGTCATTCAACGCGCTAAATAGATTTAACTTTTATAAAAACAGCTAAACATGTTACAAACATAATCATCATTATGACACGCGCTATTGAGCAATTATCGTCTAGTTTGTGTTTTTCACACGTCTGAAGGGAACAGACGAAAGAAAACTATTAGTCGAGATAAACAAAGGATAACTGTGAAAATAACTGTTGGGACTGAAATTGTACATCGAGATACTGAAAATATCGAATTAAAAATATCGAGATAAACAACTATTTCCAATATAGATAAAGAAGGAGGAAAGTCGGGACTTTCAAAATTTCATCGAGATAACGAAATATCGAGAAAGCGATGTCGAGATAACGATAGTTGACTGTAATCGTTTAATTATTTTATTTTCATTTAAAAAGCACAAGCTCTTTTGTGTTTTTACTGTATGAAAACATGGTTTTACACAATGATAAATATTTACTTATCAGGAAATGATTTTGCAATCTCTTATAATTGAATGTTTTCAATGTATTTTTCTTTTATTTTTCTATTCTCAAAATATGTATAGAACTGCTATGAAACTTAACAGAAATCAATTTACGTCATGTCAAAATATTGACGTGCGGTGATTTTTATTTACTGACTACGGGTGAACCGTTTAAAAACTAGTAATCGTGTAAACAATAAATATAATGTAAATAAAGGTTAATCTTTATGTGATAAAATACCTTTCATCTGACTCGTAAAGTTTTATTTATTCTGCACATTCAGTTTACGAAATATTTATGCTAACACAGAAGAAAAATAAAATATATCAAATTGATTTTTCTGATGGTTTTGTTAAAACCTCATATTACAAGTCAACACTAATGTAACAGTGAATCAACAACAACAAAAAAACAACGCTGAACGCACTGTTGAATGTTTTAAAAATTGGTTTGATTCAGTTGGTTTGATTCAGCATTTGAATTGACGGCTTTTGTAAAAGCAAACTACCGTAAACAAACTAAGCGTCTGGTAACGCAGCAACATTTTAGAATGTATATTTAGATTTTTTATTTAAAATATATTTGTTTATTCCAAAAAATGTCTTTAAAATGTGTTTTAATGTGGAACTAAATGATTTGGATCAAACATTTTTACGCAGGCAACATATCTCAAGGATATTCAAGCAGTATTCAAAAAGTTATGCTGGAACTATCCTTCCATTTGATTTAAAAAACCGAAAATACAACAAAAACTTGAGTCTGAACGACATCAAAGAATTACAAATAAATATTGATTGAAATCATTTCAGTAACTTTTTCTAACATAATATGATATATTTATAAATGTTTTGTTGTTTCTAGTTATTTACTACAAATTTGTATCCTGTGATACTCATAGCCATCCAGCTGTTTTTTTGTAACAACCAGTTTGCAAGTCTGAAAATATTAAGATTGACGGAAATCACTTGCAACATGTTTCACGCGCAACCTGTTCTGCAAGATCGATTTACTTTAGCTATTCGAAAATCACAGAAACATACATATTGTTAAGCCTAAAAAAATTTTAGACGTTGCTCGGTATTACAATCCAATAAATCGACAATATCTCGTCCTTGGAACACATTTCTCTGAACTTGCCGAAATGTTGTAGACCTCGTATACTGTCACCACGTTTAAAAATTAAGATGAAGACAGGAAAGGCGTCTCTGCGCTCAAAAAAGTACAAGAACAAAGATCAACGAGGCCGAGTGACGTTCAAAAAACGCTGCCCCGGATTGTCGACAAGAAGGTACAGTAGTCATCGAGACTGACCAGCCTGTTGATGTACAATTTCCATCGTATCACCGTATCTTTCAAACTTATTTAATATCTATCACTTCAACGTCCTTAATCCTAAACGTACAATTCTTGATACAAATACCAGGATTTCTCTGCTAGTAATTAGGATGTTCATAAGAAGCAAATTTTTGCGACTAATGGTGGTGACTCTAGATAATGAAGTGCACAAGGTTTTCACATCCGAGCCTTTGGACTTTTCATTTAGAATTTACGCTGCAAATGGATTAATAAACACATATCAGAAATGATGAGAAAGTATTTATTTTATTTTTCTTACTTGTACCTTTTCTTAACCTGGAATAATACATTCATGATTTTTAAAAGTATTTACATATGTAAATACATATATACCTAATTGATTGTACTGTAGAAATTTAAAGTCTCCACACTACAACGTCAAATATTTTTAAGGAAAAAATATATATTCAAAAGATGTCTTGCAAGTAATATATTTTTACGTTATAAAGTCATTTTCAGTCAGATAATCATTTGTTTACATTATATCATTTTGAGTCAATGCATATTGTCATATCTCTTGGACGATATATATTCATTTTAAAAGAATCATTTAAGGTATTTTTCCATATATTGTAAACAAATTCCAATATTAAAAGGAACAATATACGTATCATAAATATTTCGACGTCGCAAAATTAACTACTTATTCAGTATAAAATAATAGAATAACAACGGAAATTACCCAGTTTTAGGGCAGTAAAATATATAACTTTTTTACCCAAGGGATCAGTATAGAGTAGGAGATGTAATTAATATAACAGTTGGAGCATCCAAGAGGGCTCACAAGCAACCAAACGATGAAATGCAACCTTGTCATACTTACAATCGGAGCAAACTGTGGTTCATGAAACAATCAACAGGTTACTTTTACCAAGGAAAGTGGATACTAACACACTGTGAAGGTAATATGCTATGCCAATAAAGTTTACCACTTAGCATTTTTGTTGTCTTCACCGGGGATTTCTGTAAAAGTTTACGAAAATTATTACGAAAAAAAAAGGGAACAAAAACTCACCTTATAATTTCAAATAAAATGATTTGCATGTTGCTCTGTATCACAACTAAATAATGACCAAATACGAAATGTCAGCAGATTAATTATGTCAATGTTAAAGTTCAATATACATGTGTATGCGATTTTTTGATATAATTTGGGCGTAAAAATATGCTTTTAATCAAAAGTTAAAAGCCAGTTTTGCTAAACTGAAGCTTATGAAACCACACCATTTTATTCATTAATTTACAAAAAGTATGAATCACTTTAACAAATAATACCGCTTCTCTCATTTTTCTATTTCTTAACTTATTATTTGCAAATATATTAATACATTTATAGTGTTCTATTTTTGTCTCTACAGGAAGAATAAGAAATGTAGGAGAATGTCTTCGAAATACAACTGTTTACCTATGGGGAGATTCAACAAGTTTGCAGTGGTTAGCTTACCTGAAAAATCTCTCTTTAGGTTGTACACTTAAACGCATTTCTGGAGAAAGATGGCACACAAGATATGAAGCATATTGCTTACAATATAATATATATATTATTTATATACCTCACAATATACCAGCTGTTGCTGGTGGGGTATCAAACATGAGTAGCTACTTTTCAAAAACGTTACCTGAACAAGTGAAGGATTTCAAAAATACAAGTAAACGTATTATTATACTTCACATTTATTCACATTTACAAATAGAATGTATTCAATTTTTTATAGAAAATGTTCTTGCGTTGCGGTATTATTTAGAAAAATTAGAAAAAATGAATGTAACTAAAATTCTTATAAAATTACCTCATACACATCGTGAAGAAAAAATAAAGGGATGGACAATCAGACAACCTGACTATATTGGTTTTTTATATGAATCTATTATACGAAAGGTGTTTACGGGAATGCACCACTTTGTCATTGCTCTAAATAACAAAGATATAACAATCTCAACGAAAAATATTGAACTTCATCCTAAAAACATTGTTATAACAGCTATGGTAGAACAATTTTTATATTATGTATGTTAGGTTTCATATTGATACAGTGAAAGGCGAGAAAACCGGACGGCTTTCGGACTGAGGGTTTTGTCCGGTTTTCTCAGCGGTCCGGTTTTCTCAACGTCCCCTTTATGAATATATGTACTGACCAATCACTTACCAGGGATGTCAGTATATCTGCATTTTCATAATCATTATTATGTTAATATATTGCTAAATAAAGAAATGATAAAATCCAAAAAAACATGTGTTTCCACATTATTGAATCAAAATGCAAATAAATTTTTGATTTAAGGTAGAACGCCCCTAATGGGTACTGTAAGGAACTGTAAAAAATGACAACATAGCACAGTTATTTGCCTTACGTGTCACCTGTATGCAAAATTTTAACAAAATTTACCTTGTCGTTTATGAGTTATGGACATTTTTCTAAACTAAAACTTTGCCACTAGAAGGTGTTTTTTTTTCAGAAATGAGGAAACTCTAAATAATCTATAATGTCATCATTATGAAAAATGTTTTAATATTGCTCAATGTTAAGAGACAAATAATGACATTTAGGTAACAAATTTAACAAGCAAAATGATTTGAAACGAAATGTTTTTATAAATGTATAAAAATGTAACCCTACCCCACCCACTTTTGATACTTATCTGACCATTTCCCTAATTAAAAAGCCTTACTTTAAATATCCCTAATATTTTTTAATATTTTCCACAATGAGGGGCTGTTTTCAAGGTTTACCTAAATTTTATTAAATGTATATTGGTTAGTCTTGTAAAATATGAAATACGTTTACCTTGTTGTTTTTATTTGATTAAATTTTGAAAATATCTGGTATCATATTTGCTATTGAATTTATGGTTCAGCTTCTGTAGTATTTGCTTGGGTTCATTAAAAAATTAGGACCGGTTCAGCTTCATATCACCTTCAGTTCTCCATCGATTCAGCTTCGGTTCAGCATCGGTTCTGGTTTTATCATATCAGCTCGGTTCATGCCACATATCCGGATCGGTTCAGCTTTCTACAATCTTTGGATCAGTCGGGGATCAGCTTTGGTTCGGCTTCGGTATAGCTTCAAATCATATTTTATTGTATCAGCTCGTGTTCCGTAATTAATCGGGATCAGTTCAGCTTTGTATCATCAACGGTTCAGCTTCGTATCAGCTTCGGATAAGGTTTGGTTTAACTTCGAATCAGCTTCGGTTCAGCATCGGATCAGCTCAGGTTCAGCTTCGGATCAGCTCAGGTTCAGCATTAGATCAGCTTCAGTTCAGCATCTGATCAGGTTCGCTTGAGCATCAGATCAGGTTCGGTTCACATTCGAATCAGCTCAGTTCAGCATCGGATCAGGTTCGGTTTAACTTTGGTTCAGCATTTATCGTATAAGTCCGGGTTTATTCAAAAATCAGAGTAGGTTCATCTTTGAATCACCATCGGATCAGCTTCGATTCAGCATCTGATCAGGTTTAGTTCAGGTTCGAATCAGCTTCAGTTCAGCATCGGATCAGCTTCGGTTCACAATCGGATCAGCTTCGGTTCAGCATCAGAACAGCTTCGGTCCACCTTCGAATCAGCTCCGGGTCAGCATCGGATCAGCTCCGGTTCAGCATCGGATCAGCTCCGGTTCAGCATCTGGTCAGGTTCGGTTTACCTTCTAATCAGGTTCGGGCCAGCATCGTATCAACTCCGGTTCAGCATAGGGTCAGCTTCGGTTCAGCATCGGATCAGCTTCGGATCAGCTTCGGTTCAGCTTTGGATTACCTTTTATCATCTCATTCAAGCTTCGGTAACAAATCAGGATCGGTTCAGCTTCGTATAACCTTCGGTTCAGGTTGGGATCAGCTTTGGTTCAGCTTTTATCGTATCATCTCGGGTTCAATTAAAAATTATGATCAGTTCAGCTTCGTGTCACTTTCGGTTCAGTTTCGAATCAGCTTCGGATCAGCACCGGATCAGATCCGGTTTAGCTTCTATCATTTCAGCTCGGGTTCAGCCACAGATCAGGATCGGTTCAGCTTCCTAAAGTCTTTTGTTCAGCATCGGATCAGCTTTGGATTAGTTTCGGTTGAGCTTCATTTCATCTTGAATCATGTAAGCTCGGGCTCAGTAACAAATCAGGATAGATGCAGCCGTGAAAAGAAGGAAAGAAGAAGCTGACTGAAGCTGAACCACGATATAAAATGAATGAACAAATTTCAAATAGGGCTGAACTATTTTATTCTTACCACTAACCCTTACTCTAATCCAATATAATCTTATTTTTGTTAATCGGAAAAAAGGCACCTGGTCCCCACGGACTTTTAGCCGGTATAAGCTTCTCAAAGGAAGGGGTATCATTGGGCGCCACCCGACTCATTGTCGCCAGGTTTTACTCAAAATTCAGTCCCTAAAGACAAGTAGCCATGAACAAAAGCAAAATTAAACGCAGTGTCAATGGTTCATATTTTATAACACATAATCAAACGTTTTGTTTTAATGAATCAGTCAACCACCCATCAATCATCCTCATTCATCGCCGTCATCAAACATTACCCAGCAACTGCACAGCATAACACAAATCTAACACAAGCAAATATTTCCTATCGCAATTATATATCTTTTTGATGGAATACCATATAGAAATTGCCATAATCCATGTTTGTTATTTATTAACATCCAAATAAAAATAAAAATTTGAATTTACATCTGCACGTTTTATGAATAATTTAATCTCCATTTAAAAAAAATACCATACAAATCTTGGTAGCCTCCCTCAAACAAAGCAATATAAAAAAAAGACATTGTCTCATTCAATTTTATTTAGACGCGCGCACATACATTTTGAAAAAAAAACACGTGACTATTCCGACCAATAAGAAAAAAAGTGTTGCATAAACCGTTGTTGCATTTCGTATTTATCCCTTACCCTAACCCTAACCCTAACCCTTACCTTATAGTTTCCTGTTTAATCAATAGTAACATATGCTTCAGAGTACGCTTGGTAAGCTCTATGTTAACTGGGCCATAAAGGGTAAGGTAAATTTGATTCAGAATCAGTTTTGTAAAGATATGAGTTAGCAGGCTAATCAAGAGTAAGCTAAATATCATGCAGGCGTACGTGAGTTATGTTCATAGTAAGGTGGGTAATCAAGAGTAAACTAAATATCATTCAGAGTAATCGTAGTAATGGTTTTATTCGTTGTTGGGTAATCAAGATTAAGCTTCCAGTGCTTTAGAGTAAGCTGGGTAAGCTTAACGTTACCTGGGCGATCTGGAGTAAGGTAAACTTGATTGAGAATCAGTTTAGTAAAGACATAAGTAAGCTGAGTAATCAAGGCTTACCTTATTATGATTCAGGTTAACTTTAGTAATGTTTTTAGTAAGCTTGGTTATCAAGAGTAAGCTAAATATCATTCAGGGTAACCTGAGTGATGGTGTTAGTCAGGTGGGAAATCAAGAGTAAGCTTTATATCATTCACAGTAATAGTAGTAATGTTTTATAGCAAGGTGGGTCATGAAAAGTAAGCTTCATCTGCTTTAGAGTACGCTGAGTAAGCTTACAGTTAACTGGGTGATTTAGAATTACCA